AATTCCCGCTATAATTGGCGGGGAGCTGCATCCAGAAGCGGGGAGCTACCTCCCACATCGCGCTAGGCTTTGGTCACAGTGCACCTTAGATCCAGAAGCACGGGCTGAACAACCAAGACCCTCAACTTGATTGGCTGTGAAAGTGATGCAGGATTGAGGTTATCAGACGCCGTATGTAATGCCCAAGGATTAGGTACCAACCTATCTAATAAGGTAGGCATAGTAGATTAGTAGCTATGTACGTATGTAGATGGAGAATTTACTGATACATATCAGATGGGCTCAAGAACACGAGATCTTAGCAGCGTTGACCGTATGATGTTGTGGCAATGTGAGGCCAGTACCTACAGTACCTATTGAGGCGAAGTTCAGTGAGGATACCCCCGGCCAGACCCAAGCCCAAGACAAAGCCGCCCGCGGTGCATTAGCGCCCCGCGCCGACAGAGCCAGCTCCCTGAACTCCACTCTCTTGTTCTCCCCACCACCTTAAACTTAATGCTTCATGTGCCACTCAATGCTCTGCTCTTCTACAGTACAGTCCTCCTTTGCGTTAACATCTTGGCCGGCGATAAACAACTGGTACTTGAAGAAACTTGTCCACAATATATCAAATATTCATCCATACAATGTATTCATCGGCAAACGTCATGAACTCTCCGTAGTCCCCGACTCTGTCTATCATGAACCCGCAATACGGCATACCCCCAGAGTCACATAACACAATCAGCAGTAAGTCAGCTACCCTTACCTACTCCATCCTTACCGTTCCTACTTGCTTATCCTACCTAGGTATCCTGGGAATCAGCATGGCAGGCAAGCGCCCTTCTCCGGACTCCACCCCTAACCCACGAAGACCCCAGGGCATCTCCTTATTCAGCTTAGCATCCAGAGCTCTCGAACTACCGGCATTTGGTCTTTGTTAAGTGAAATCAAACCAGCTGAGGTCTACGACTCAATGTCAACCACGCCGGGCATCATTCTAGCGATGGGGCCACTCATAAGTCACGAGGTTACGCCAGACCTTTGGACCCCTCACACAATATCGTCCCGTGGAGATCTTTATGTTGCTAACCTCGTTATCTCATCGCGGATACCATCTAATATACCGGTAAGTTACCTATAGCAAGCAGAAAATCCTGTTTCAGGGGCTGTTTCAGAAGACGACGCTCACAGAAAGTCATGTGCACCGTAGTTCATTCTCTCTGTACCTCATGTTTTGCTTGAGTGGATCTTTGGAGCGAGCCTTACTAAACCTGTAACAAGAAATAACGAAGGTTGCAGTATCTCGATAGGTCTTTATGGCTCTGCTAGTAATTAGCCACTTTCTCGCGTGTGCGTCTACCTAAGGTAGCATGAGAGTGAGAGGGGATGACTTGTTTGTTATATACTCTCGAATGTCCTAAGCTGGCAAATGTCAATATGCATAGTTCTTTTATACAAGCAATATTAACTCCCAGGGCGTTACCTTTTCAATGATTTGTATCACACTATCTAAAGTATGGAGGCACAAACACAGATGACCCCAATACGTTTCCCGTGATATCATGATAACTTGCCTAAGGTAGCTTGCCTCACCTTGGTGGGGATATTCTTCGGTGTAATGGGTCCTCACCGACAGCTGTCTCGGTGACATCAGTGCCCCTGCACGTGACCTCGCGACGCTCAGCTTTGATCACACAGAAGTTCACGTCACGCCTTACGCCTTCTGCCATCTTTGTCGCTACCCATCTCTTACACCTACAATAATTCGCCGAGGGCTTGCCCCGGTAGCTAGCCGTCGGGTCGTCATGAAGTTCAATATCGAGTACGACATCCTTTCGCCTCGTGGCACCCCTTTTACTCACATCCTCTAGTGACTTGCCTGTGCTATTCCCTTATCCCAGGATATATCCAGGTAGGCATTAATAAACGCGTGTTCCACTGGCCAAAAGCTGACTCAGTTTTCTCAGAGCAATATGCGTGAGTTGTTGGGCGTTGTGGTGTCCGAATGGATGAGATAGACTAACCGTGAGGCGCATTAAGTTACATGTGTGATCTCAAAAGTACCTACCCCTTCTATCGATGAAATGCATCGTGATTGCTGACATGATCGCCCATCGCACCAGAAACACTAGACGCAGGGGGCCACTGTGTTCTAGAAATGCCTTCAGGCACAGGCAAGACCGTGTCTCTTCTGTCTCTTATTGTTGCGTACCAACAATACATGCCTGAAAAGCGCAAACTGATCTACTGCTCTCGTGAGTGACACTTGACCTCACCCCTGCTATTGCTGACTTATGCCTTGACAGGTACCATGTCCGAAATTGAAAAGGCTTTAGTAGAGCTGAAGTCTCTCATGAAATACCGAGCCGAGCAGCTCGGTTACGAAGAAGAGTTCCGTGGTCTAGGCTTGACAAGTCGAAAGAACCTGTGTCTTCATCCTTCAGTCAAGCGTGAGAAGAGTGGCGCCATAGTTGACGCTCGTTGCAGGAGTCTCACGGCCGGCTTTGTCAAGGAAAAAAAGGAACGTGGAGAAAACGTAGACGTCTGCGTGTATCACGACGTGAGTCTCCCAGAACCTCAATTTTCTTGCCCATTCCATGCTGAGCCAATGAATAGAACCTAGACCTCCTCGAGCCTCACAACCTGATTCCTAATGGCGTCTGGTCTTTCGACGACATGATTCGATACGGTGAAGAGCATAAGCAATGCCCATACTTTACTGCACGCCGAATGGTAAGTATTTTTCTTATCCTATTGGCCTTGTTTTAGTGATTCTTATGCTCTACTTCAGATGCAATACTGCAACGTCGTCATATTCTCCTATCACTATCTGCTTGACCCCAAAATCGCCGAACGGGTATCAAAGGACTTTTCCAAAGACTGTATTGTTGTCTTCGATGAAGCTCACAACATTGACAACGTTTGCATCGAATCTCTCAGCACAGATATCACAGAGGATTCTCTGCGGAAAGCCACAAGAGGAGCTCAGAATCTAGAGAACAAGATTTCCCAGATGCGAGATACAGACCAGCAACAACTGCAAAACGAGTATGAGAAACTAGTTCAGGGACTGCGTGATGCTGACGAGGCACGTCAAGAAGATGCCTTCATGGCAAATCCTGGTAGGCTCCTAAGAGACCTCCACTTGCTTCCTTGCAATGTGCTAACCATTCCGCAGCCCTTCCCGAAGACTTACTCAAAGAGGCTGTCCCAGGGAACATTCGTAGGGCAGAACACTTTATTGCTTTCCTCAAGAGATTCATTGAGTATCTGAAGACAAGGATGAAAGTGCGCCAGGTCATTTCTGAAACACCGCCTTCGTTCCTTGCCCATCTCCGAGAGCATACCTTTATCGAGAAGAAGCCTTTGAGGTTTTGCGCTGAACGTCTGACATCACTCGTTAGGACCCTCGAGCTCACCAATATTGAAGACTACCAGCCTCTTCAGGAGGTTGCAACCTTTGCAACGCTGGTGGCAACGTACGAGAAAGGCTTTCTCCTTATCCTTGAGCCCTTTGAGTCCGATACTGCCGAAGTGCCTAACCCGGTCCTTCACTTCACCTGTCTTGACGCTGCCATCGCTATCAAGCCCGTCTTTGACAGGTTCTACTCTGTCATTATCACGTCTGGTACCATTTCCCCACTGGAGATATACCCAAAGATGCTCGATTTCTCAACTGTGATACAAGAATCCTATGCCATGACCCTCGCCCGGAGATCCTTCATGCCTATGATTGTCACTCGAGGTAGCGATCAGGCTTCCGTCTCCACCAGCTTTCAAGTGCGGAATGAACCCAGTGTGGTTCGAAACTACGGCAATCTACTCACGGAATTTGCCAAGATCACGCCGGATGGGATGGTTGTCTTCTTTCCATCTTACCTTTATATGGAATCTATCATTAGTATGTGGCAAGGAATGGGTATCCTTGATGAAGTTTGGAAGTACAAACTGATCCTGGTGGAAACGCCCGATGCACAGGAAACATCGCTTGCTCTGGAGACCTACCGCACAGCGTGCTGTAACGGTAGAGGTGCCGTTCTACTCTGTGTCGCTCGAGGAAAGGTATCCGAGGGCATCGATTTCGACCATCAATATGGTCGCACTGTGCTATGCATTGGAGTTCCATTCCAATACACCGAGTCACGTATTCTCAAGGCTCGTCTTCAGTTCTTGAGAGAAACATACCGCATCAAGGAGAATGACTTCCTCTCCTTTGATGCAATGCGACACGCCGCCCAGTGCCTGGGTCGAGTCTTGCGAGGTAAGGACGACTATGGAATCATGGTCCTTGCCGACCGACGATTCCAGAAGAAGCGCTCACAGCTACCCAAATGGATCAACCAAGGCCTCCAAGAGTCAGACGTCAATCTAAGCACCGACATGGCCGTCAGCAGCGCAAGGCGATTCCTTCGAACTATGGCGCAACCGTTCCGGGCTAAAGACCAGGAAGGTATCAGCACCTGGGGATATAAGGATCTGATGGAACATAAGGAGAAGATGGATCTAGAGAGGATCAAGGAGCTTGAGGAGGAAGCTCAACAACCAAAGCCTGCCGCGCAGGACAACAATTTTGAATACGACGATGACGAGTTTGACCAAGATATGATGGAGATGGATGGTTTCTAGACTCGTTCGAGCAACTGCAATCAACACCAGACGTTAGACTTGCCCCCCATATCTTCTTGTTTTTCTGAAGGCAGGAGTATTTAAGGGCAAGGGGTATCGTAAAATGAATTTCGGGTTTAGACTACAAGGCCAAAAGCATATCAAGTTGTATCATATTATTCGGACTAATCAGAGAATGCTAACCCCGTCTAACGTTAGTTACCAAGCTCCTTTGCAGTGTTGGTTCATCTTGAACAGAAATCTAACCAAGCGTTATTTTTGACTTGCTCCAAACACAATGCCAGAACGCAGAATGCTGGCCGTTCGCCCAACTCGGGCCTACTCAATCAAAAGAAACAAAGGACAAAACAAGGATATCACCTGCTCTATGCGTTAAGGTTAAGAACAACAATCTAATCTACCAAAAGTCTCTTTGCAGCCTTTGTTGCTCGGAAGGCGGCAATGGAATTTGCCCGACCCGGCTTTCGTCCAATCTCGATGCAAAGCATTCGAATAAAATCATGATTAGTCCAATAGCTGGAGTGCGCACTGAGCATGTTGAGGTACTGTATCTCCAAAGGCCCTCCCCCAGAACGGAGGTACCAGTCGATTTGCCCGTTGTCGTTAAGCAGAAATGCCTTTCTCTCTGCAATCTCTTCCCGGGTAAAGTCGTGCACCTCGAGCTCTAATTGAGAGGGCAATCGGATCGTTGAAGGTCGCTCCGGCTCCGGGACTAGAGGGTTGGGTGCTGGTGCCATGCCTGGTACTACTCCTCGCATTGCGGCGCCGACAGACTTCCACAGAGAACCCGAAATGCTAGGTACGTAAGCCTTTTTGAGACTCGCCGCGTAGACAGGGTCCACGGCGCCATTGAGAAGGTACGCAATGGGATCTTCCTTGGCAAGGATGTTGTATATATTGTCCACAGCCAAGCAGCCAAAAGTCCCGGCCTCTGCTACGACGTCTTTCGATACAATGTCGTTTGAATCAGCTCCAGGCTTCATTCGACCATGACGAGGCATCAGGACACCACGCTCCAGAAGAAGAAAGAATCCCGCAGGGCTGCCCGCCAGGAAAAGATTCTTGGTATCAAACTCGAAGAAACGTGCCTCGGGTTCCTTTCGAGACCAGTCCAGTCTTGGCACTGTGGTTGGTTGATTTGAGAGAATCTCAAGAGCCATTGCACTCCCAAGGGAATGTCCGATCATGTGGACGCGTCCATTGTCAGCAAAACCTGGGTTATTGCGGCACCAGAGCCGATAGACACGGTTTGCTTCTGATACAAGAGCCTGGATCATTTTCCCTTTGTGATGTGACATGTAAAAGGGGATGTCGAACATGATGTCTGATATCATGCTGCGGACGGCCGGAATCGTATCAGGTTCGATGTCTTTGAGTCCAAACCCCTCCGGCGTGTATTCCTCCTTATCTTCCTCCCTCATTGGTCCTCCATCCTCAAAAGACAGGCCCATTCGCCAATTCAGGGGCAAGATCATCAGTCCATTCTGATCATCGCGCAGAACCTGCTTGACCAGAGGGCTCTGGAGCTCCATATTCACAGCTCGGCGAAATCCATTGATGGCATGAGTGAAATGGAAACTCTCAACCCTCTCCGCAAACTTCTGGCCAATGCCGTGAGCGACAAGAACCAGATCAGTCACTTGACGCTTCGCCTTATCAGCTTTGCAGGCAGCGCATACATCTTGTCCACGGTTTTCGTGCGACTCATCGGCAGCAGAAGCACCTGCTTTGTTTGGTGCCTGTTTCTTGTGGTGTAGGTGCTCCCATGCTGCTCGGTCGAATCCTCGAGCGACAGGAATCCCTACAGTGACGCCTTTCATGATCTTCATCGTCGGTCGTCGGCCATAGTATGCTGATGGTTTCAGGCTCGGTTTTAGTAGAAAAGCCTCAGTGGCATTCTTATACAGGACATGATAATTCGAATACGGTCGGGTCAGCATGCTTGCGTCTTCCGCTGTGGCCTTCTTCATGGGGGTCGTATCAATGTTACCTTCAGCAGCAGCTTCGCCCCGAAAGCAGCGAGCAGCACAAAATGGATCTGATGGTATAACTGGCTCAGGGAAGTCGTCTCCGGAACCTATCTCTGAATCCTCGGGCCATAGTCTATGCGAAATCTTTTCTTCACCCAGTGGTCCAACGTCGATAGCACATCGGAGCTCATCACTCCATGTCTCAGTCCACGGTCGCAAATAGTGATAGCCGGCCTCTAACTGGTTAGCAACAGCCGGCGGTATTGGGAGCATAGTATCTCTAGGTTAAGTCAGTTATCCCTTCCCCTAATCGACCCTGGAAATACAACCTATAGAACCAAGTCGCCCTAGAAACAATTGCAACGTCGTTGATTGGGGACCAGTATATCGGCTTCATCTGAAGCACAGGCAACGAGACCATATGAAGTCTTGATATTCCGACCGCAACCTCGGCTACCTTGGTCTGGCTCTCCTCGGGTACTGCCTGAGTCCCTTGTTTCGCAATGGTCACAGTCTCTTCACCTTCAGGAACGCCTTGAGTACGATCTGGGTTTCGAGAAGTATGCCGGCCTGGACCTCCGAGTCCAGTCAGCGAGAGAGATCCGGGTTCTGATTGCGTCTCCGGACTTCCAACGCGTACGAATGGTCTGCCTGAAATCCCATCATCGACAACTGGTGGTCGTGTAAGGCCGGGACTGCCAACGGGTGTTTGTACTCGTGGTGGCTGTGAGGTAGATAAGCTATTGGTTCTCGCTCTCATTTCTCCTATAGTTGATCGACGCCTAGACCTACGAGGCTCCGTTGTTGTGGTCTTGGGAATGTGGGTAACTGGGTGGTCAGTAGTACTAGCGGAAGCGGTTCCTGGATGGCTCGAGGGTGAGCTGTTTGATACCGGCTGAGCCTCAATTTCATCGTTGGCTTGTTTTTTCAACCGATCAAGTGCAGACACGACCTGTTGCGTGACTTGGTCCACATTCAGGGCTGGATTTCGCCGCCTGACCAGGGCACAGAAAGCTCTCTCAAGTTCTTGGGAAACGTCAAGGACCAGTTCAGAGCAACAGGTGGGCACAGGCATTGTGGGCAGTACATCACTGACTGGTGCTGTCACATCTTGTGGCTTATAGCCTTTCCGGTGCCTCTCCCAGTGATTTGTAGTTATGAGCTGGATGAGCGATGCGAGCACCTCTGGATCAAACTGAGGAGTGCGATCCAGATTCCTCAGTGCATCTTGATGAGCGCGACGTGAAGGCTCAGACATGAGACTCAGCCAAGCCTTTTCCAGCGCATTATTATCACCTCGAGAAAAGGGGCGCACTTGTCCTTTGCTTGTCTTTGAATCGGCACCAACAATTGAGGAAGTTGAAAGAGGATCATCAATGGGGATCACTGACGAGTAGAAGAACTGAGCCTCGACCGGGGGGACCTCATCTTCGCGTTGAACGCGAGAAACAGGGGCCAGGCGACACTTGGCGCTGTAGGTGTGGTTATCGTCAGTCATGTCGATCGATGGTAGTGATGCCTCACTCGGGACGCGACTACGAGTTGGATTGTTGTCTTGTCCCAACAACGCTCTCGGGTCAAGCCTTGGGCGGCAGCTGTATATTCTGTAGGAGTCGGCCGTGCCATAGGTACCTAGGTAGAGCTTAAAGCTTCCTTGCTGGTCTTTCCCAAGGCCATAGAAATCGGAGGAGGAAGAAGAAGAAGAAGAAGATAACTTGGCTAAGGTAGGGCCAAGGCTTCGGGGCTGTTATTCAAGGGACGCCATGACGTGGGGGATGATGTCTGCCTTTAAAATATGGGGCTACCTCCAACTAATAGATGAAACAAGTGTATGTATCTCTACAGCCAGGTTGTGAGCAATGATACTTTGCTGCGATCTGAGGAATCTCCAATTTTACCTAGGCACCCGACCGTTCTAGAAGATCCAGTTCGACACCAAGTCTATGCATATTATCACATGCATTACGGAGGTAGTTACGCCTGTGACACGTTAGTACCTAGGCAAGCATGCAACGGGAGGAAAGAAAACTCAGGTCCTTAACGCTAAGGGATAAAAATCTTTAGGTAAATTTAGCCTAAGCTTAGGGGACTATTTACTTCGTTTATTTTAACACCCTAGGTATATCAAGGTTCGGTGTTTTCTTGCCCCCCGAGGGCATGTTGCTAACAAAACGTCCATGTACTCACTCACGTGGATTGAAGCAATTCAGTTGGTACCTCGATTTTCTACTTGAGATTGCTTCAGACTACTACTACCCAACGATATTATTGCATACCTAGGCAAGGATGAATGCAAACTAAAGTTAAAGATGCCTGCCTACGAATGCTCTGTCGGCATTATGTATCAACAATTATAATGCAATACACGATCCAATCGGATCAATAAGCCAAAGCTTGAACCTGCGAAGCGAAATATCGTTTGTATCTCACTACGAATTACGGGGTGATGACAATTCAATCCAAATCGAAAGGCGATGCTCCACAGACACACCCCTGTCTCAAGTCGGCATTGTTGCATGTGGATGAGAATATTTATACATACGTAGAATCTTTATTTTCACTACATCGTACTAAGGTAGGTAGGTATGCCAGATCACATCCCTGGTGGCCTTCCTACTGTACCATAAACTAGACATCCATCATCTTCTACTGTGTATGTATGTAGGTTCGCTCCAACAATATATCCAATCTATTCCACTCAATGATGCTGGTGTGAGCCTCTGTGTATTGTAATCAAACTACAGCCGCAAGCAATCTTAATCACAAGGGATGCGAGACTTGAACTCGCTTGCTCTAGTCGAGCAGCAAACCTTGACAAATTATTCTCCAGTGTGGGACTTGGCACAAAAGATCCCATTCCCAGCGAGCTTCCAGATCAAGATTATATTTGTCAAGTTCGCATATGCCGAGGTGAGTCGTTTCGACATGTCGCCCAGGCGAGGCTCCCGGCATAATGCATGCGAACCCTAGGCTGTCGCATGTGGAAAGGCACCAACAGAGTTTTCCTCTTCGAGAACTTTTGTGTCTGTGCCTCAACCGTTGCAGTATCTGCATATTGGAGCAAGGTTTTATCCAGAATATACAGAGACGCTGATAAGTGGACCTCCACTTCGAGTGCACTTTGCCACCAACCCATTCATGTTTTTTTTTTCGTCGATACATCCAGCCTTCGGGTTTCGTGAGTTTGATTACTTCCTTTCTTAGGTGAGAATACGTGTTCCTGAAGAATACAAGTCAGCAAGACCCAAAATTGACAAGACACTTTGCCGTGGTATCATTAGCCAGCCTACCTTTTCCAATTCTAGGCCAGGTTTTCATGCCGTTTCTAACTTGAAATGCCAGAAGAAAAGGCTCTGGAAGAAGTTTAACTTCTTACCGATCAAGGATCCTGCCACATCGATGGATTACTATGTATCTTAAAATACATCCGTGGTGTTGATGACGACTGTGTAGCATGTTATGCCCAAGCCTATCCAGGGCGGCGAGGGTCTAAATCGGACGGCCTGGTTGGGCTAACAATCCCCAACCCTGCGAAACCTGGACCTTGCAAGTTAAGTGTCCCGATATCAAACCGCTTCGAACAGCCGTCCTCCATATGTCTACCAATTTAACTATTAGAGTTTGTGAGCGCCAGAGTGTATGGCATGCTTACCTTCTCAGAGTATCCTTTCGAGCAAAGAGGCGTCCGCAATAGTCACACTTATGATTGCGCTCCTTCATATGCACACTCTGGTGGTGTCGTTGAAGGTCTGTCTTCCGCACAAACTTCTTAGTGCACCCGTCAACAGTGCAGGGAAATGGATATTCGCGCTTCTCATCATGAGTCTCAAGGTGCGATTTGTAGTTGTAGCTGCGACTGAAGAACTTCCCGCATCCTTTGACTTCGCATTGGAAGTTTGCCTCCTCCTTCGATGTGTGCTTTCTTGTGGGTCTCTTGGCCTTGGTCGTCTTCAACAGTCTCCTCTCCTGGCCAAGATCAGGAAGTTGATTTTGCGGGGTAGAATAGAACTGCGGCACCTCATATTCTTGCTTCGGCCAAGTCGTTGAACTACTTGCGCCGAGGCTGGAGGGCAAATTTGAAGCGAAGGGGGCTCCATCCGTTTGATAAGCGGCAGCAGCAGCAGATGGACCGGTAGTTGAGTACGGTTGCGGCTCATACCCCTGACCATAGCTGCTCACGGCGCCTTCGACTCTGAATCTCGAGTTAGAGGGATCTTGCAAGTATCCATATGGTGGCCTTGCGCCTATTGATGGCGCTCGCGAGGATTGGCTAGTAGACGACAATGATGGCTCATGGATTGACGTGTTGCGACTGGGCGGCATGTAGGCGTCATGTGTCTGATATGGTGCAGGCAAACAAGAGTCGTATCCAGCAAATGCATTAAAATCCGCATGCAGGGCGTCAGGTTCTACCGAGCTTGAAGAAGCTGTACTGGTTCCAGCCACTAAGCCATCTGGTGTGACCCAAGCAGTGCTACCGTGGTCCATGGGAGGCGGTGATAGAAGTTCTGGCTGAGGCACTGTGAACCAGCGAGCGTGGTGGGAGTACGAATCCGAATCCAAGTCTGACTGTGAAACGCCTGAGACAGCTTGCTGAAATGGAGAGCCGTAGCAAGACGGCCGGCGATTCGGGGGGTAGGAAGTGTCAGAACTGGACGAACTCGTTTCGAAGAACTGTGAATACTGCGATACGGGGGAGTTCGAGGTCGAGGGAGGTGTCAGGTACATATTTGAGGTCGTTATAGAAAGCAAGTATGCGAGGGTCGGGTTAGAATCCGTGGGGATGCTAGGGTCTCATGAGCCATGCACTTCCGGTAGGTAGAGAACCACAGGCCACAGGCACCTTTAGATTAGGTATTACAGTGAGTAGAGATTCATCGACCAAGACGGGAAACCCCATGACGGGGTATCAGTGAGATAAATACAGCGAGAGCACAACCAACACGGGAGATGGAGTTATGAGCAACAAACGCAGACGGACGGTGGCAACAAAGACGAACGTCGACCAAACCAAGTCCTGGGCGAGAAATGGACGTACGTACAGGGAAGATCGATTACTTAGATCCTCTTTGATGAAGCTACTACCATCGATGAATTAGACCCAGACGAGGATTGTCGAAGGATCAGTCTCCGCCTGCATGGGGGGGTGCTAGAGAAACAGGCAAGACAGGCTAGACAGGCTAGACAGGCGAGTCCAAGGTGGGGAGACGGGTAGGTTGGCGTTCACGGCTAGAGAGCCACTGGGAAGGTGTCGAGAAGCGGGTGACGGGGCCGGGAGGAGAGCGAAATGAGGTCTAGGCCAGGATCGAGCTCGCCAACCACACGGCTGGGCCATTGCGACCCTTGACAGATCTCGCGGATGACTTGAGGTAGATAACGGTATCGCTAGGGCCGTTTACTGTCACCAGCCAGCCAAGCAAGCAAGTGAGATGTGTGCAAGTCAGGCCGTTGAGTGCCCCAAATTAGAGCATAAAATCAACCCTAACGCGAACTAAGGTATAGAGGGCCGCATTCCGCAGCGACAAGGATTTCAAGACTCGAGAGAAGGCTGCTTAACACTCAGTGCAGGTACTGTTGTTGGTGCAACGATAACGAACGAAGTAGCATAGAGACAGAGCCTAGCCGCAGCCCAGCCTAAACCAGTCCAAGTTTGGAATGCGTCCGTATTTGAACCATGTTCGTGGGTTCTTTTTCACAGTGATGCCATCGCCCCATGAGTTCTCCACCATCAAGAGCCAACACAAGAAGAACACCAACACACTCGGAAGATATCGAGTACGGCGCCTTGCGATTTCTCTTGATTGAGGTGTGCGCATAGCCCCAATTTGGCAGCCTGGCCCATGCAGCTCAAGCACTTGTAGTGCCATGACCGCAAGGTAGATGCAGGTGCGTGAGAACCAACGACGGTGGCCCGCGGTCTTAGGTAGGTAGGTAGGTACGTAAGGCACCTTGGAGAGCAGGTAAACAAGTGAGCGCATTTGTCGATGGCATCCTGTGGTTGCTCACTATTATTATCTTTGGGGGGCAGCATGGCAGATTCGCCGAGACAGAATCAAGGAAAAGTTTGATGGTTGCAACGTCATAAACATAATCCCTTCGAGCTCTGTTGATTTAACCAGTTAGAAGAATATGGGGGGCCATCACCGCTGACCTGCGGGCGACGGATAGTACACTGCGTCCACATAATTATCATCTGGCGTTCCTGGAGATGGAGGGAGGTTCCTTGGCCAAACCATGGATCGTTCATGTGCAGACATACTGGCAGCTCCCATCAGGACGAGGGCCGGGGCCCTTAGAGTCTGTTGGCTCTGATCTCTGCTCTGTATGCGTCCCGTCGTCTCAATGGCATGGCAGGGCCAACGGATCAGGTGGTGCGACTCGTGCGAGTCCGGCTCGGTGCAAGCCAGCCAGGGGAATGGTAAGGCAAGGCCAAGTACAGTAGGAACCGGGCTAGATCCGAAGAGCCGATACGGTAAAGTACGAGGAAACGGCTCAGGA